TTGTGACCAACAATTGTGAAATATGCTATGCCTCGTGGATAAGTCGAGGGTAAAACTTGGGGCTATGAAATTCTGTGATTTTTATAATTATATAGACACACACTGCATTATACACACACACACTTATACAAACACACACTCTGCATTATACACACACACACACACTTATACAAACACACTCTGCATTACAAGGAGTGCAGAATTATTAGGCAAATGAGTATTTTGACCACATCATCCTCTTTATGCATGTTGTCTTACTCCAAGCTGTATAGGCTCGAAAGCCTACTACCAATTAAACATATTAGGTGATGTGCATCTCTGTAATGAGAAGGGGTGTGGTCTAATGACATCAACACCCTATATCAGGTGTGCATAATTATTAGGCAACTTCCTTTCCTTTGGCAAAATGGGTCAAAAGAAGGACTTGACAGGCTCAGAGAAGTCAAAAATAGTGAGATATCTTGCAGAGGGATACAGCACTCTTAAAATTGCAAAGCTTCTGAAGCGTGATCATCGAACAATCAAGCGTTTCATTCAAAATAGTCAACAGGGTTGCAAGAAGCGTGTGCAAAAACCAAGGCGCAAAATAACTGCCCATGAACTGAGAAAAGTCAAGCGTGCAGCTGCCACGATGCCACTTGCCACCAGTTTGGCCATATTTCAGAGCTGCAACATCACTGGAGTGCCCAAAAGCACAAGGTGTGCAATAACTAATTTTAGTATTTTTTTTAATTTTATTTACTTTTTTAATTTTAATATTTACATTTTGTTATTGTAACATTATTTTTTTTATTATTTAATTTTTATTTTCGTCCCCCCTCCCTGCTTGTTAGCTGGCCAGGGAGGGGGGCTCTCATTCCCTGGTGTAGGAGGGGAGCTGGCAGAGAGCTGTTACTTACCTTTCCTGCAGCTCCTGTCAGCTCCCTTCTCCTCTGGTCCGGTCAGCTCCACTGTAAGTCTTGCGAGAGCCGCGGGGTTACCGTGGCAACGCTCCGCGCGGCAGTCACACCGCAAGACTTACAGTGGAGGAGAAGAGAGCTGACAGGAGCTGCAGGAAGGTAAGTAACAGCTATCTGCCAGCCCCCAACAGGACCGCCGGGCTTGTAATGAGCCCGGCGGTCCTGGTCTGTATTATGGCAATGTAAGTTGCCATAATACAGACACTGACTCGAGTATAAGTCGAGTGGGGGTTTTTCAGCACAAATAATGTGCTAAAAAACTAGACTTATACTTGAGTATATATGGTATAAAAAATAATAATATAATAGTAAATTTAATTCATAATGTAATCAAACAAAAAACTGAAATTTGGTAGGTTTGATACAGTAACGTAATCAGAATTACATTATTATATCACAATGTATTACTATGTATTATGTGTATTTGCACTTTTTTTATTTTAAATTTATTCTGCTTCTCTCTGTCAGGCGATGTTCACAGGGAAAAGGAACCAGGAAGACGGATACCGGCAGGATTCTGCGGGAGGACATCAGAGGCTCGTAGAGACAAGGTAAGTGATACTACAGTGTAATCTCGAGCATGGCTCGGGGTTACCACTTTTGGCACTGAAAATTAACCCCTAGCCATGCTCGAGATAACTGCCAGGGAGGTTAAATGTAAATGGGATTTGCAAGAAATTAATTATTTGGGGATAATTATAATTATTTTGGATAGGCAGAATTAATGTATTCAAGTCGTATATACTGCTCAAATGGACCTATATATTCAGAAACATTCCACTATTTAAGTCGTATATAGTGCCCAAATGGACATATATATTCAGAAACATTCCACTATTACTACCAGAACCCTGGCTTAATCAAACACAATCTTATTTCTCTAAATTTATGTGGGCAGTCAAAAAGCCAAGAATTAGCTCAAAGATCTTGTCCTTAAAATCTAATGGATAAACGTGTAAACGCCTATTTGTTGAGGCAATAAATTAATTGAGCAGGCAAGCACTTACTGAGCCATTAAGTGGACTAGGAGGACTAGGATTGCCCCTAATTAAAAATTATTATGAAGCCAATAGTTTATTTCATATATATATATATATATATATATATAATGCATGGTAAACAAAACTATCAAGAACCATGGTACAAAACTGAATCTAATGCATATGAAAAAAAAAAAATACCTAGTATACTTTGGTCCTGTGGATCTCGTAAATGATAGGGAAGATTTCTTCAAATTTCATTCTAGAAAATCTAATTAAAATGTGATATACTCTAAAACCTAATCTTGTACTAAAAGATAAAATTATAAGAACGCTAGTTGTAGAGCTCATAATTGAGAACATGATAGATATCCATCTGAAAATATAGAAAGAAGCAGGCATTCTTAAGATTGAAGATATATTAGTAGGAAACACAATTAAATCCTTCCACAATATAAAGCAGGAATTATTTTTGCATGATAAAGAAATGTTTTCTTATTTTCGTATAAAACTTTTTATTAAAACATCTTTACTAATAAATCAAATAAGCTTGACTTTAATAGAATTTTACCACATGACAGGAGGCTTCATATTTGCATATCTTTCTTTACTGAAAACTCCAGCAGCATAGAAACATAACAACCAATCAGAAAAAAGTTATGATGCCCATAAAAGGCCCTGTCTATGACATCACTTCCTCTTTCTTTGCTGCTCCAGCCTACAACAGGTCAGAGTATTTTACCTCTCTGGTAGATTCTTAATTAACACTGTTTTTTGATTGTCATACCACTATATATTACTCTATTTATTGCTAACACCTGCTACCTTGGCCCCCCTTATTCCTGTCCCTTCACTGTATCCCTCTGTTTTTTCCCCCTTTATATTTCCACCTTACTGCCTGGTATCCGCGGGCGCAACGACTACCCGTGTCGCGTTCGCCTCGCGGACCGGCCCTTCACTTACACAGGGGACTGTATGGGGACGGGTGGAGGGAGGCTGGGGTCAGCGTTGGTGTTCATTTATGCCATTTGTTTTGCACCGCGCGACCGCGAT